CTTGCGATTAACAATTCACGAGCCCCTCTAAAGGTGGCCATTGCTTTTCCTAAACTTCGAAGAGCAAAGCCGCTACAGCTGCGGTCGCGCGCGCTATCTTAAGGCTATTTTTCGCGCGATTGCAACGGCGAACTCTCCCCAAGCCCCCTCGACCAAGTCTGCCGTCCCAGATGTCTGCCGTCGTCGGATCTTAAGCTCCTTAGTGCTTCTTTTTCAGTTGAATTCCAAGACTTTGCTTTGAAAGTTTGAGGATTTTTTGCCTTAAAGCACAGAGTCGAACTATCAGATGGAACAACTTGTATGAATATTAATGCAGCCACGTGACATATATCGTTAAGTTGCATATGTTATTTGAGTTTGCTCGTGATTAACTTTGTCTTTAATCTAACCGCGGAGTATTGCCCGAGTGAACAACAATGCTGCCGGGGTAAATTATTATTGATGAATAGCTGCATCAAATGTGATTGTAGGAAATCACACGAATTCGTGCAATTTGGAATAAATAAGCGCGAGGAAATTTTTCAGAAACCAACAAGCCATTTCGTAAAACGGTTCTCGCGATTGTGAGAAATTAAACTTAAAGCCAGGGAAAGAAGGGGAAACTGGTGTCGTAAGTTCTTAGCGATCTTAACGGGTCGGAACTGTTTCGAACTGTGATTAACTTTAACCGTTAGAATAGAAAACAGCACAAACTCCTTTTAGATCGCTTGAACAACAATTGTGGGCTTGAAAAAACTCTTTCGCCCATTTGACTCGTTGAATGAGACGACTCTCGGAGATGGAAAAATTTCTAGTTCGAGTTATTTTCTCTTCGCTAACCTGCTAGACTGGAGGTAAAGTTAATTTAAAGAACATCTCCCAAATCTGAGCTATGGCGTCTCTGGTCAACAGTCACCATGGTTACGGAGTAGAGCTGACAACTGAATCATTGGTGAAGGTAATGGTGTTGTGGATATATCTGAGAGATAGAAAGGGTCGTCTTAAACGGTGGATAAAGTCTAAAAAATTCTTTTATGAGTCTCAGATGCTTTTAGAAGAGTGAATTCATAGGAGTTTTACTATTCCATTATGCTGTTGGTTACCATTTGGACCAGGATTCGGGTTTATATCGCCGCTCAACTGGAGAAGAATTATTTGATATCTTGCAACGGAGTTAGGATAATAACTAATTCTCGACGAAGATTGGCCTAAATCAGCCGCTATTCCGCAGTATAGGAGAAGTAAACCCAATATAAAACATGAGAGAACGGAGCGTCGAAATGGACGACCGACCGCCATGACACACGTGGATCACGTGGATCACACAGTGGTTATTCAATGTCGTGGTTCTTCTTGTCCACTGTTTCCTGGTCGAATCGGAATTTGTAATGTTGGTTTTTGTGGAAGGGAGGAAAACTGGAGGACCTGGAGAAAAGCCACTGAACCAAGGATGAGAACCAACAACAAACTGAACCCACACGTGATGCCAGCTCTTCGAGACGACTCTCGGAGATGGAAAAATTTCTAGTTCGAGTTATTTTCTCTTCGCTAACCTGCTAGACTGGAGGTAAAGTTAATTTAAAGAACATCTCCCAAATCTGAGCTATGGCGTCTCTGGTCAACAGTCACCATGGTTACGGAGTAGAGCTGACAACTGAATCATTGGTGAAGGTAATGGTGTTGTGGATATATCTGAGAGATAGAAAGGGTCGTCTTAAACGGTGGATAAAGTCTAAAAAATTCTTTTATGAGTCTCAGATGCTTTTAGAAGAGTGAATTCATAGGAGTTTTACTATTATTATGCTGCGAATACGCCCCAAATAAATTCAAGGCCTAATCCATTCATTACACCAGAGATCAAAGGACTAATGAACACGCGTGATATGTGGCATAAAAAGGCGATGAAAACCAACGACAAATTGCACTGGAATGCCTGAGTTATTTCTTTCAAAAAAATTTGCCTCGTTTGCAGAAAGTCTTCGTTGGATATGAGTGTACGTGCTTTTCTTGAATTTCTGTTTACATTATATCTCATATGACGTTATTGAGAAATCTTCTCAGCGATAAAATCTTAGGATAATCGTTCTATTGCTGATAAAGAAGGAAGCGCACTATCATGTTGCTATAGGAACTGCGGTAGGTCTTAACTCTAATTTCAAATGTCAAGCACAAGTGAACCCATGGATCAAAATTATACCCGGAGATCCATATCCTTTTTTCAGAACTATTCAGTGTTTCCCAAGGAAATTTTTATATCTTCAGAATGCTGCATGTATTTCAAAAGCCTTCAATTTCATCGAGTTTCTTTTTCCAAAAGCTTCGTGGAAAATTAAACTTCATTCCTAATTTCATTAGGTCACGATTCACGCGTCGATTGACGTGAAAAACGTGATTTCCTTCATCCAAAGACCAAAGTAACGCGATCACTCAACGTGACAACTCCGGCCAAGAATCCTGGAGAAAAAACTGTTGAATAACTTAGTAAAGTTATTTTTCAAATAGATCTTTTTTTTCGCCTTTAACTTAACTGCTAAAGGACTTGGAAAAAGTAACCAACAATCATCTTTGGCTGTTTGGTAACGTTATTTATCCTATTCAAAGGGCAAACATGATGTGACTAGTTCCATGGACGCCTTAAGAATATATACTAGAAGACTAGCAGTTTCAACTCAAATATATTTTTATTTTGCCTGCAATGAAATTGATTGCAAAAATAAGAATCGAAGAATCAAAACGGTGCATACTAATCGTTATGCATTGTAAAGAGAATACAGAGAACAGTAGTCATCCAAACAGAAGATTGATTTTCTAATAATTTCCATGGTTCTGTTTGATCAAGTTGTAAGATTGTACTAGTTTTCGACTGCTATCTCTAAAGAGATAAAAATATTTAGTGCTCAGTCATAAAAGTAAACACATTACCATGTATTATCCACATGTACTTGCATACGTCGTCTGGAAGAAGTAAATGAGTGAAGTGGTGTCCACGTAACCGGGCGACTTTACTGACACTGTCGCTCCATTAAAGCACCCAAAGCAAGATCCCCTTTCTAAATCTCCTCACGTATCATTCTGACTTTCTACTGAGGACTTTCTGCAGTGGGGACTACGCTTAGCAATGAAGTTTTTCTGTCGCATGCAATGAACAAATGTTTAGGTATGAAGGGCGGAGGAAGGAGTACTATTCAGCCGTGCCATCTCCGTCTTCCTCTTTAGCGCTGGTGTTTTCAAGCAATTTGACCCAAAGCGGATACGCAGAACTTTCTTTTTATGGAGGAGTTGGCACGAAATACTAAGAATGATGGGAGGAGTGCCATTCTTTGTGTTGTTCTAGAGCGGGAGAAACTGACATCGGAAATTGAGCAAATCTGATACTGTATGTTGCAATGATAAACCTTCGGGTCGGTAGTCACGTAGAAAGCAATTATTTTCGGTGGATTTATAGGGCGCACAAGGTATGGACAATGATGTTATCTTCTTCTACAGGAAAGTTAACAACATTTGGTCATTGGGCATTAAATCAGGAGGTTGATGGGGTTTAGAAACTCTTCTGGTCCTGCGCATGTGAGATTAACTAGTATAGAATGCACGCTATCAAGCCTTGCAATAATTAACCCTCATTGTCATGTTTTCTCAATTAAAGGCCTAAACTCAATGATACATGAAGTGTTCAATGATGACCTGTGGCGATTATTGTTATAACTCTGATTCTTTTATTTTTATTGTTTCGCCAAACTTTTTTTTGTCTTCCCCAGACGGTCGTACATAAGACCGTTTATTTCTCGTCTTTTTCAAAAGATGCATGTAGCAGTTATGCATGAACCATAATTAAATAAAACTGGACTCAGTTCAACATTTGATAGCCATTGTTTGATTTTCAGTTCAGAAATGGACAGAATATTTTGGTTGCGATTTTTTAATTTTCAAATCTAGTAAAAAAGAATTTGCAAATATTCGTTTAATTTTAAGAGTAATTTTGAACGAGTGATTGTAATTCTATGCCATTTTAAAAGTTCAGTTTGGAATTCTAGATTTCTTCATCCAGAGTTGCAAAAAGTCGCGTGACCAATAATTGAATCTATTATTACTTCCGCGAGCGCTTACGAAATTTGTACTGCAGCCTCCGCACTACGCATATTTCAGTCTCGATCTTCTCTTTATGTATTGATCATCCGCCCAAAAGAGCTTGGAATAATCAGTCGATGGAAAAAGCAGAAGTAAATTCTCTTCTTAACAGTTGATTGCAACGTTTGAACAACATTCACTCTCTGAATGTTGAAGCAGTAGACCGTTACTGTTACCCCTTGTCACGCGCACTCTCGCCCACTCAATTTGAAAGCGTGGGCGATGATCATTGCAAAACTAAACCGCAAATCGACCGGTTCGGAATAAATATATTTACATCTAACAGACACGAGAACAATATTCGAGGTCTTGATACAGTACAAACTATCCAGTACGTCTCAAACGCTAGTATTTCCCACAATGAGCGACCTCAATATGGAGATGTTCTTAGACGAAAGACTACATGATATTGACGAGTTCATTCAATCTGAACTAGGATTTGCTCCCTTGAATGACACAGAACCATTTATAGGTGAAGAAGTACATAGTCTGAGCTCTACGCTTGGTGCTCCTGATGCTGTGCTCCTCGAACCTTTGCCGGGTAAAGATAAGTTTATAAATTTCTATCGTATACTATGCTGTGATGATGATGCATGTTAGTGCAATTAGTGAACGTACTCTAAGCGAGTTGGAAAATGTGGTATCTTTATTCTCGTCATTTACTTAGCTATCAGCCATTTTTCCTCTAGGTTTGCACGCTGACCCGAAGCACTCAATCCTTAGGCGCAATTCCTTGTCCAAGCGTATGTTTCGAAAATAAATGAGGAAGTCAGTCGATAACACTTTGCTGACGTGTCATAAAAACACGACAATTGCCTTATTTATCACTCTCTCTCGGGCAACGTGTCATATTTGAAATTGTTCATTTTGGTTCATTTCTTGAAGAGCCAGCCAGCTTGCTGGCCAGTACTCAGATGGAAAGCCAAGCCTTTGAGGTGGAAGCAGAAATTCAGATAACGGATTTGAAAGATGTTTACGACAAAAAGACCAAGAAAACCAACAAGGGGCATTTAGAATATTCCTTGGAGGACTCAAAAGTGTCCTTAACGATTCGAGCATCTGATGAAATTACAGGTCTTAGGGCGTACACTCAAAGGTGTGCTGAAGCTGCGATCAAGACTCGCGATGTTACAGGTAAGACGAGCATCCCAAAATACGTAAAACACTGATATTTGTATCCTGTTAATGCCGGAATGGATAGGTATTGTCACTGTTTATGTACAGTTTAGTTGTAGTCTCGACTGGGTAACCAGCGCTGATAAATTGAGCAATTGTTTGAGCCTGTAGGTTCAGTGAAATTTGAAGTAGATACTATGCAAGACGATGCAATGTTTCGCTGTTGAAGTTAATTTGGTTCTTGTTCCACCCGTCTTATTGGCCAAATGTTTGAATCTATAGGTCCAGTGGAGCTAGAAGTAAATATTACACAAGGCGATGCAAAGTACCACCTTGCAACCGTTGATCTTGGGTCGGTGTACAGAACGCAAGAAGGTGATACAGTATATAGGCTAGAGAAGGCAGACGTCGTTCACCGAAACAAATGGGAACTGTTGATAGCCCTGGAATTTAAGTCAGGCTTGAGGGGAATGGTGAAATCAAGGCCATTCAGAGTTACAACTAAGGCAAGCTTCAAAATGAAGAGGGATGGAGTTGGTTAGTAATTATTTAACTTATGAGGTACATTTGTTGGCGGTTTACACTTTATCCACTTCGAGCTAAGAGCTTTAGATTGTTACAGCCGTCAAGAATAAGCTTTATTTTTTATTCTTGAAGAATTGTTAAGAGATTTTCACCATTTTATTTAAAAGAAGAATCTTTGTAAGGTCAAAATAGTGCTCTCTTGCTATGTATGCTTTTGGATTAGCTAAATCAGTCAAAAAGGAACTTCCGATCCCAGGTAATGGGAAGCTTCTGGTGATGTTCATTATTTTATTTGATGTAACGGTTTCCCTCATAGGTCATTGTTTGCCTAAAAGTGGTACCATGCAACGGATTATTCGAAAGTTTAAGTGGTCTGACATCAACGATGTAACTGAGTTGTCTTCAAGAAGCAGGCATTCCAGGCATCGTGGAATGAGACAGGGTTAGTTGTCGAATGCCTTGTAACCAGCGTTTACAAGGAGTTTTGAATTTTCTTTTTGATAAGTCAGAATATTTAAAAAATAAGTGTCAAAATTGTGTGAGATGTTTCAAAAAATTGTGAAAAGAAATCAGACAAGAGTTGATAAACATCACAGATTGAAGTACTATAAACACTTTACTAAACTTTTAGGAGTGCCTTTTCTTCTCTTCGTTTATTCTGCATACATACCTCTTCAGTATCTATTATTAAGAATTTAAACACTGCTGCAAATGATCGCATGGGGTCAAACTAAATATGGTAGAATTTTGTAACGGCTGTCGTCAATAGAACTGAAATAGCGATTCATTCAACACCGTCGCGAAATTTCCGTATAAGAATGGCTTGATTAATTTTAAAAATGAGTTATTTAAGAACTCCAGGTGAAAACAAAGATAAGACATTTCGCAAGAAAAGGAAAGTTAAGCACTAATCTATGCAAAGATGTTGATCAGAATTCATTTGTTACATAACTTTGAACCTCCGCTCGTATCCGGTCAATTGCGAAACATTGAAAGGTCACGTTTACCTTTTCTAATTTCGTAGTGTCTGACAATTCATCAAGGTTTTTTTTTTCAATTTAAACACGTGTATAATAGTATTAACATTGGTGTACGATATGTAATCCCTTTCAATCCGTTTGATCAAAGTGACCCAACTTAATGGGCCAAAGTATAGCTATCGTCGAACTCTCAATCAACGGTCTCTATACGACTTTTATAAGTGCTTATGTCTTTTATTTACCTATTTCGTGAATCCCACAAGTCAGAAAAAAGATCAGGGAAAAGTGAATTTCTTTAAGTTTAGGGAAAATCAGGGAATTTGACTTCGAGTCTGGGAAAGTTTACATATTTGAAAGAAAGCAGGGAAAAGTGAAGTTTAAGTAAATAAGAAGTTGTATATCTATTTATTTGATATGAAAGAGGGTGACACTTTCCTTTTTATGATGCCGATGATACTAATTTTTAAGTACAGTGACCGATATCTGACCAGCTTAGCATTTGAGATAATTTGGTTTTAACAATGGGGTTGATAATGTAAATTTGGCACCGTAGAGACTCTCTGAAGATGACTTTTCGAGCTTTCCCCCATTCGTCATAGCGAAGGGCTTTTTACAGTGGCCAATTTACACTATGAAAGTCCTTATTAATGTTATTTTTTAATGAAATTGAACTACTAGCTGATGTAGGGTTTCCAAGAATCAATTCTCTTACCATGTTACCTTAGAGCACTATCAATTTATATACACTATATGTGACCTTCTGAAAGTACAAAGTAATGGTTGGATGCCATTATCAGGATTAGTTTGTAAAATTGTTAGTTCAGTCGATTAAGGACATTTTACGTTTGTCAAGGAAAAGTCGCAGAGAATTCAAAATCATCCAACTGTGGTAACAATGACTTCATAAGAGCCGATTTAATAGTAATGAGTTTTATGTATTTTCACTCAGAATGTCTAGATCGCGAAGCTTTGAATCGGGATTTTGTGCAATTTACTCTAGAGGACGAAGATGGTTTTGCGACACAGCACACGTTTGCTGAGAGATTTATGACTCAGGATTCCAACCATATATCAAGACATACTACTACTGCGAAGGTCTTGCTCCGAAACAACACAGCCTTAGATACGCGTGCGGTAAGTGTGAGCTGCCTCACCTATATTTTGGTTTACTTGACAGGGCACCCTGAAAGTAGAATTATTCCTTAGCAGTCAAATGTTAACTGAACATTGTCGTTGCGGCTTTGTAGAAGGCCTGTTTTGAAGCATAATCTGCAAACCCAGAAGTTAGTTTGCTGGAAATGTTACTGAGTATAAATGTATAGGAGTTATATGGTGGTATAAGCAGCATCCATCAAAGATACCACTATTTCTCATCTCAGTTTGGTTCCTACTAGTGACATGTATCCAGGCATTTTTTAAGGGAGCTCTTCCCATTTGACGAATTACAGTGCTCTATCAGCGTTGATGAGAATTGATAGTAGAATGTAACCGAGTATTGCATGGGTTGGGGCTCTTACTTTACTCTGAAAGATTGCGGTTCTGAATGGACACTTTTACCCTCGCCCCTGGATAGATTCAATTGATTCTGAAATTTTTTTCCAGATTTCAGTTCCACATAACAGAACTGATACACAATGTATACCTAAAGCTGTGTTTCTCAATGGTGATTCTAATGATCATATAGGAGTGAATAATCTTTTTAATGTGTAAGTCTACAATCAAAATTGTTTGGATTAAAATTTAGAATATTAAAGCAGGGCATTAATTATTTTTTGTTTGACTATTGTGTCCATGTTTTCCACCCTTCGCTTCAATATATTGGATAGCTTTGCTCTTTATTGCTCTTAATGTTCCTCTTGGAGTCTCTAACCTTAAAAAAATCGAATCCTCTATCAGATGTAATGAACTTCAAATTTTTTGTAGAACTCCTGTGCACTTTCTTTGGTTTCTGTATCTAAATATTTCAATAAGCTGACTCTGTGATTTCCATTTCACAGATATTTAACACTGGCAACATCTCAGCGAAGTAACCTGTATTGCTCAGTCTCTTTAAATCATTAAATATAATACTGTTTTATCAACTGTAAAACTGAAGAATAGGGAGATTTTTTTTAACTTTATTTTTGAAAATTCACTTTTAGAAAACCATATCTTGACATAGTGATTGCAATTTGGAGATGAAATATGGGGTTGCAGAACTGGTAGTTACAGAGCTCTCGTCTCGCAAGGATAGTCTTTCTTGTGAGAAAAATGATCACAACTTTTTGGAAATAATTAGGCACTTTTTTTTTAACTATTTCAAAGTAAAAAACCAAAACCTATGTGAAAGTCACGATTCATCAAATTAGTGGTGTTTAAAAAAACAAAACTATTTCAGACTACCTTTACAATTTCATCCCAATCAGTAGCAATTCCATGCGATGCGAAAAATATTTCAATATGTTTCGAAATATATACCCTTAATGGCTAAGTTCATTTCGTTTCAGGTCACCGCGTATTATAGCCATAATCCAAAAATTGACTACGTTGTAGAGGAAGTTGACACTCTTGGTATGTTGAAATTAGTGAGAAAGAAACCTACACTTATCCACCCGCACGGCAAAGGAAGAAGACGCAAAAGTATTGAAGGTGAATTCTGGTGGGCTTGCGGATATTGCTTCTTTGAACGTCGCAAGAAGTCGACTATAAAAGCTCACATCATGCAGAGGGTTTGCCAAAAGCCATTAGCAATCAAATCGCCACATAAAAAGAAAATGAAACGACAGCTAAGTCATGGAGACCTAGAAGAGTGCGAGTTTGATGATTATTCGTGGAAAGCCTCTCTATCCGTTTAAGGACCAATTGCGGGGAATCTTAATGTGAACACCGATTTTGATGTTTGAAATGTTTGACTCATATATTTTATACTGCCTTGATTGTAAGTATTGTATAAAAGAACTTCTCGGTATCAGAAGAATGGTTCAAGTTAAAAGTGACACCAGTTTGTACCAAATTTGTGGTCCACTCATCTGATCATAAACTGTAAGTTTTGTTTATATAATACCCTCTTTAGACAACATGTTTAATACTTTTTGTAAGTTTTGTTTATATAATACCCTCTTTAGACAACATGTTTAATACTTTTTGTAAGGACCAAGTTGTAACATAGCAGAAGTCCTTTTAAAGTAAGGCAGGAAACGGGATTCAAGATTTGTGGCAAATATGTGGTCTACACTCCTGACCATAAACTGTACATTTTGTATATCATAACTTTTTTTTATTGACATTTTGTTTATACCTTTTTTATGGCAGCATGTTTAACGCTTGTGGTAACTTCAAATTGTAACATAGCAGAGATATTTTTCATGTAATTTAGCAAACGTAACTTGAGATTTACAATATTGAAAAACGAAATACATCAAATACTACTGTGCAAGCCATAATGTCTTGTTTTATTACAGATTTTTAGTGCGTTGAATATACTTTATTTTTCTTATTAATCATCAAGCACCGTCTCAACATTAATAGAGTCGAATCAGGCTTTGTTAAATTGCTGTTTAAGAGACAGTCTAGGGTCTTTTTAAGGGGGCGAATGGACAACAATGAAAGAGAACTAAACTTGGCATTAAAAAACAAACAAACAAACAAACAAACAAACGAACAAAAGGTATCATGTCAAAATATTCCTTATTGGACGATCGATGATCAGTTCAACTCCGGCAATTTACGTTTTCCTAGCATTTTTTTGCCTCATGATTGTTGTATTCTGTAATAGTTTCCTCGATATATTCACGTGATCTTGTAGATTTAGAGCATGGAGAATTCTTATTCATACTTTTTTCTACCTGTTTCTCAGAGTTACAAAAAGGTGATGACACCACTGATAGTCAGAAAGTTCCCGTGCTCGGTTTTGTTCCAATTTCTTTCGAAATGTTGCTGATCGTGAACGTTGTGAGCGATTAAGTGTGAGTTTATCGAAGTTGAAATAGACTTATAGTTTATTCAAAAGTTATGTAATGGCTAGTTTTTGCGGTTGATGTGAAGTAATACGAATTAGTTCTGTAAACTTGCGTAAGTAAATTTCAGGTGAGGGAACAGTTTATACTCGTTTTTCGGGAGGCAAAAGTAGCATAAGTCATCTTTCTATAAATTAATGATTACTAGGGTTCTGAAATTCTCAGTGGATGAAAATGCTTCACTTTTGCTACCTGTCACGGGATCGAATACCTCGATTTCATCATAGAATGCCCTCAGGTCTGTTAATCGAGGAAAATGGTTCCTAAATTAAATCATAATGACAGAATCAGTGATCTGTTATACTAGCCTGAACAATGGGGTGGCTTTTGACAAGTTTGAGAATACCACCTTTGTTGCAGCTAAATCGGGCGTATCAATGTAACAAATGATTTCCGGATTGCGAAATGTTCCATCTGCTGGTCACGAAAACCTTACTATGCTAATACAGCCAAAACCTCAAAACGCAGGTATGTTTGAAGAAACAAAACAGATGATAGTTCGGTGTGTATTGATTTGTTTTACATTCTCTAAAATCGCCAGTAGCGGGGAACATATCATGTAACATACATGATACACTTTAGAAAATTTAGTGCAGGTAAAAAGCTGAATTCCCCCGGATCTTCAAAAATATTTGAAACAAGAAAAAAATATTTATTACAGAGAAAGAGAATAAATTCGGTAGCAAGGGATAGGCTGTGCAAGCTAAACCCCGCGGGAGGAATCATCGAGTTCAGTGATTTATATTTAGGATTAGGAGTCCATTATACCAGCACATGCGTCTTACAATGCCGGCGACACATCAACGTCGGAAGTCGGCGTTTCGAGCTCTTGCTGCAGATGTTACTTGTTACTTAGTAACAAGTTCTTTGATAGCGATGTCACCTTATATTTGCCGGAGGTCAGCTAGTTGCTATGCTTTCAAACCGTTCAAATTTTTTACACGATTTCAATATTAGTTTTGCAAAACGACAGCACGCCCGCATTACTTGAAGGTCACACGTGGTTTTTATCGATTTTTTATCTGTTATCAACACCAATCCATTTAACTGACTTAGTCGACTTGCGTGGACTGCCATCTAATAATAGCTATTGACGGTTGTATCTATATCTATAGCAATTGGTTACCCCGTGACATGTAAACTGTGTCTGCCGTTGAAATTTCTTGCATGATAAAATAACGCTTATCCAAGGACTGATACCACACGAGGGAATGCGGTGTCCGTTTTCGATGTAAGGGATAACACAGCAGCGTTGCAATGTTTCAAGTCCATACTTGGGTAAGATGAACGTGACTTGTCTGATTGTTGTGCCGCTTCATCCCACCTAGTGTTGTTGACAGTTTCTATTTATTTATAGGAAGCCAACTTTTACTAAGCGAAAAAATATATCATGGAAACGATGAAATAGTTTATAATATTGGATCAAGTTTGTTTATAAGTCGCGATTGTTTTAATTTGTTTCCCAACAATATCTAACATTATTTTTATCTTCGTTAAATTGTAAAACAAGCATGTGGCCCGTATTTTTTGTATTCTCAGTGTGTTGTCTTTTGGTGGAAACTAGGACCCAGATCGGAAAGAAAGCAAAAATTTGGTAATTTTTGTTTTAATGATTTAGCGTTATGTCGGAAGTCAGGTCGAATACAGTTTTCTCAGTCGATCCAGCAGTGCAAAAGATTAAACAATGATAAACACGGTTCTCACATGAAAGTTAAGAATAGCCCGGCGATAAACATGAAAACGGGCGGTTACAAGTTTGGATTATGATGCAATTTTTTCAAAACGTTCTCAGGTGAGAGTTATTTTCAAATGCCCCTCATCACATCGTGGAAAATTTCTCGCACCTTCTCGTGTATTCCCAAAGTGAGGCTTGAGCCCAATTATCAGCCCTTGATACGTGAACTATTTTTTATGACTTTTGCTAACTGATACGTGGTATAAGTTTAACTTGTTTATTTTTATCGTTTGGCGAGACTCAATTTGTCTACTCCGGTCTTAACTCTTGTTTGGTTCGTTCACGATCGAAAACTGAATGGACTGAAATTGATTCACTATTTCACTGCTACACGTCGATTGTCAATTTAGTGTGGAAAATGATGACTTATTGCAGACACTGTCTCGCAAATTAATAGGAAAATATATTATCCAGAGTTGCAAAAACATTGCGTGACCTATAGCCACAAAAGAGTCTACTGTAGCTTTCGCGACTAGTTGCGTAATTTGTGCGGTTAACAGTCGTGCGACGCAATTTTTTTTTTGGTCTCGTGTTTTCTCGTTATCTCTCGATAATCCCAATGTGGGTGAATGAAAATATCATTGTAAAAGCAAAAGCATGTGCCCTTCTTAACTCTATTATACAACATTTGATCAAATTTTCAGTCCCTTGATACTGATGCACTAGACCGTTACCGTCTCCCCATGCCAAGTGCACTCTCACCCTTCAATTAACCCAAATCGAAACGGCGTGGGAGATGAACATTGCGAAACAAAACAGCAAATCGACTGGATCGTGGGAGTTTATGTCTGAAATCTTGTTTAGCGCACCATTCAAAGTTGTCATCAGAATTTCCACCTAAGTTGGCTTGGTTAAAGTTAGATGTTGTTAGATGTTTCAGAGAAAACGGGCTCAAAATTTCTTAAGCAAAGGGAAGTTAACCGCTTAATTGTGGAAAGAACTTGAATTCATTTGTTTCGGAACTTTGAACTTCCGCGGGTATCCGGTTTGATTGGCAATTTGCGAAATTTTGAAAGGTCATGTTTACCCTTTCTAATTTTAGATCCTTTTCTCAGTTGTTGTTCACGTACAATTAGGGTCAATCAACAATTTTCAGGTGTGATGTTTAATCCGTATTGCACAGTATTGGATACACGCGCAGTTAGTGTCAGCAGCCTCACTCTCGATTGGAACTAACTTTAAGGAACTGACAACGGTAAAATTATACTTCATTTCCCAGTTAATTAACTGATCACCGTCGTTGAGGCTTTGTAGAAGGCTTTTACGAGATGCATGACTAGCGACACCTAACTGTCCGGTTCGCTGACAATATGTATGAGTATAAATAATATCTATGGGAATAATTCAGTAGTCATGGTAGATACCGCTGACAATGTGTATGAGTATAAATAATATCTATGGGAATAATTCAGTAGTCATGGTAGATACCGCTGACAATGTGTA